ATCTACCACAAAACATTCTAAAAGAGTTTAGGGAGGTTATCTAGGTGGGATCTACCATAAAACCATCTAAAAAAGGAGTTTAAGGTAATTACCTAAGTGAAGCCTATTACTTAAGATTATTCTAGAAAGTCCAGGGTGATATGATAAGATATAAATAGAACTTATTAGGGCCTTTTAGAGCATCTGGTCAAGTATGACTTTAGATCTTTTCTCTTGGTAAAATTTGATTTTGCATCTTTTTGTTCAGTTCTATTATGTTTTGTTTCCATTTACTCAGTTGTCTTTCATGTCCTATTCTATGTAGTTCCGTTTAATTTTGTTCTTGTCTATTTTGTGTTATTTTGTGATGAAATATTACGTTCTTGTGGAATAGAAGGATCTTGGGTTTTTGAGATAGTCTGGTCATGTTTCAACCATGGTCTTTTATTTCTATAGATTTTATTACAAGTCTTTTAATCTTAGATTTGTATGATTCTATATTCATGATAGTAGATTGTTTTACTATGATGGCAGATTTTGTACCATATACAAAATCTATCATAAGTGAAAAAATGGCAAAGTTTTTTTTGACAACATTGATTGCTATCATAGATTATCTAAGGATATTATATCAAGTAAGGGGCTTCTATTTGTATTAAGATTTTAGAGAATCATTATCAAGATTTTAAAGATAAATATAAATCTCTATTTGGTTTTTTATTTTCAAACTAATAGGCAAACAAAAAAGATGAAAGAAGTTTTGGAATAATATTTGATGTATACCATCAACTATCATCAAAATAATTGAACAATTCTTTTGTCATTGAAAAAGTTTGCATCTATTAATTTGGTACATTCTTGTGTTCAATAAATTCTTTTTTTTTCAATTATGATTATCATCCATGATTTGATACTTTTGACTTTTCAAAAATTAATAATCTTACAATAAAAGATTTCGCAAATTGTTTGTCAGAGCTATATGCAATAATGAAACTTCAATTAAAATAAGCTCAAGAACAATAAAAGATTAATGTCAATGCCTAATGCAAGGAACAATTATAATTCATTGTAGATAAAAAAGTATGATTATTTTGTGACAATATTAAGACTACTTATCCTTGTGATAAATTGGACTATGATAGATTGTGGCCTTTTTGTATTTGTAAACAAGTAAATTTTATTTCTTATCAATTATATCTACCATAGTCCATGAAGATTCATTTTGTATTCTATGTATCTCTTCTTAAGCCATATAAGTTTGTAAATATTTTGAAAAGTACATAAATACCACCTCTTCCTATAGAAGTGGATAACAATCAAGAATTTGAAATAGAAGAAGACTTAGATTCAAAGTAGTGCCAAAATTGATTAGAATATCTTATTCATTGGTATAAATATGATATTAGTAAATGTACATGGGAGCCAAAAAAAATCTTGCAAATGTAGCAAAAAAGGTTGAGATTTTCCATCAACAACATCTATTAAAATCAAGATAAAGAATAGCAAAATCAAAAGATGATAACACTCTTTGTAAAAATTATCTTTAAAAAATGAGGCAATATTACAAACATACATATTTATTCCAATAATTACCTATATGATTATATAGATGTAAGTAAATATAGATTGATTTCATACTATCTTCTAAAGAAGCTTCCTAGAAGCGTCATAGATACAATTTTGACTTTATATATGTTTATAGTTGATTGATAGATTAAAAACTTGGTCAACAAGTTAGCCATGTGTCTTACATATCGATAGCTTGTAGAACAAGTTTATTATATGGTACACATATAAAAAACTTGCCTTGTAAGTTAAGATATGTGTTTTGCAAAGTCAACACATGTTGGATGTCTTATAAGACATTATCACATAGCTTTTAGTTAGATAGTATATATGGAGGCAAAAGTGAAGCCTTCTTCACTCTTATCAATACCTTTTTAATCCTTAGTCTTATTTTAAAACTTTCTAGTCTTCTTATCTTTTACAATAGCCATTCTAGTTCAATATATTACCATCTTTGAGTGATTTCTTAGTCTTTTCAAGTGACACAAGTGTATATTAAGGATTTCTTTCTTTGAAATTCATGTCCTTGACAAATTAATAGGTTAAAAATATGACCATAAACTTAGCCACATATTATACATGTTGAATAATTGTGATATAAATTGGACATGTGGTGCACATATAAAAAGCTTGCCATGTAAATTAAATATATGTCTTATAAGTTAGACATGTATTAGAAGTCCTATAGAATATTGCCATGTAACTCGAAGTTAGATAGTATATTTTGAAATAAGAATGAGATTTTTTTCACTCGTGTCTTCTTTTTTTTTTTTTTTTTTTTGTTCATCTAGTTTTAAGAATTTCTAGTTTTTTTTATCTTTTGGCAATAGCTATTTTAATTTTTTTTAATATATATATATCATCTTTCTTTAAAAAAAACACACTTGCTTATTTACATTCTTCAAGTTCTTGTTATTGAAAAATTGACTAGAATATACTTATGATATTAATGCTTTGTCTTTTCTTGATTAAGAGTAGATTACTCCTTTCTCTTTGATAAGACATAAGCACATTAGAAGTTGTAGATTATCTACTTCTAAATTCATATCGTTCTTAGTATTTTTTTAATTCTTAAGTCTTTTCTTTTACTTAACTTGAGTGATATTAGATATTTTCTTTTTTTATAGTATTACAAGAACAAAACTTGTTGAAATGAAGAATATAATAGAATAAATGTAAGAGTAAATAATACTTGCAATGCATCAACTCAATTTACTATCTCAAGAAACAAAAAAATTAACAAGAAGTAAAATTATAGAAAAGATTGGAGTTGCTTAAACATTTATAATAAATTATATTACATCACCCATTGTAGAATAATATTTGAGCATTAAAGAATCAAGAATTGCTTTAATTGAGAAGTTTGATGCCACAAGATCAAAGTTTAAAAGATTTATCAATTAATTACAAATAGTAATTGAACTTCAACCTCAAAACTATCCAACTTTAGGACAAGTCATGTTTATTGAAACACTATTTTCAAGTTTTGTTTTATTGAAATTTTCATCTTTTCTTAAACAACATGATCCAATATTGGATAATTTGGAGGCTTTTTTGGCACAATTTTAATCCATGTATAGGAGACATGATATAATTTGTAATATGACTTTATTTTTTTATTTTTTTATAAAAGAATTCAAATCTTTGCAAGTTTGAAAAATTTAGTAGAAATGAAAAAACAAAATAATCTAATTATCAATATATATAAGAAATTGTATGCATGTTGTGCACCAATCTTGTTTACTATTATAATTAATATTATATTTTTTATAATTATTATAATCAATAATTTAACAAGTTAGATATTAATCAAGATAAAAGATATAAAAGATAGAAATAAAATAATAATAATAATAATAACAATAACCTATTACATAAGAATATTAATAATACAAAAGCTAATCAAAGCAAATAAAACAAACCATAAAAGCAAGGTGTCTACCTAATAATGTTCTAAATTTATAAATCTTATATTTAATATTACACAAAAAAAAGTTAATAACTATTTATATTATTATTTTATTTAAATATTTATTTTACTAAAAATATTTTTATTTTATACTAAAAATTTTATATCTTTTAAACTAAATATTAATAAAAATTAAATAATATTATTATACCTTTAAAGTAGTTATATTATTTTAAATTTATTTTGAAAAATCATTAATCATTCAATTAATTATTAAAAGACAAAAAGAATATCTTTAATCTTAAAAATTGACTCTTTAAGCTTTAAAATATAAAAAATTACTTAAGTTGGCTTATTTATTTAAATTTATATTATTATATATTTTTTATATATTTTTATTTTTTATTTTCTTAAAAATTATAGACATCAAAAAAATACTATATATATAAATATATATAATTTTTAATGTGCAATAAAGAAATATTATTTATTTAAAATTCATGACTAATTTTTTTCTTAAACTAACATTTAATATGTGATACATCTATAAAGTGTTAAAATAAAGATTAACTAAATAAGCTATAAAAATATCATAAATATATTATAATATATAAGAATGTCTAAAACAAAATAATATTTGTGTTTCTTAGTTTTATATTATATAAAAATAAATCTTAACCATATTTTTTTTTTATAAATATTATCCTACACATTATAAATTTTAGATACCATTCCAATCAAATTATAAACTTAACATGTTGTGTATACTTTGCCTACAAGAAATCTAATTTTACTAATATATATTTAAAAGTTAAAGAATAAAATTTATGTCTATTAATGATTAATAATAGTTTGAATAAAAATATGTATATGTGTATATATACACACACACATCCAAAATTATTATGTCACTTTGAAATTATAAAATTTTATCCTTCAAAAATCGTTTTAGTAAATTTAAGTCATTAATCTAAAAGTTGATCGGATTGTCAATGATTACCTCATTTTCCTGCCCAGCTTGAGTGACAAGTGCACCCAAAAGTGCAGCAAAGCTACAAGTGTAAACAAAACTGTCAAACAAAAAGACTTAAAATTACATCCGATTCAACTGCAGACAAAAGGGTCAGAGCCCTTGTGAGGTTGCTATTTGATGGGATGCGGCTATGGGGTTAAACAGTGTTTTAGTATAATTTATTCAAGCTCCACATTTCTAGATGTTTTGATACCTACACCGGCATAAATTCCAAGTGCCACATGAAGTTGTTTGAAGCATAAAGGTGATACCACAATTTAACATTCAATCCATGATAAATTCAAACTTCAGAGTAATGATAGCTGTGGTACAAACTTCAGAGCAGTGGTGATAGCTGTGGTACAAACTTCGGAGCAGTGATGATAGCTGTGGTACAAACTTCATACAGTTTGCACTCTCCAGGATTTATTAGAACTGGGGCCTACTTGATTGTAAAAGAGCAAAGCTGGGCAAGTTCGAGCATGTCACCACAACTGAAGCCTCAAAAAACTTTCAACCAGCATGTAGGTGATGTGACAAAACCCAGTTCCATTACAAAAGAAACGTAGAATTGAAAGCTCGTAGAGCTGTTCAGTAAATGGCTCGAAGAAGAAGCCATGTCTAGGAACAGTTATTCAGCACAAGTAAAGTTTTCAAGAATAAATCTAACTGTGTGCAAACCAAGGAACATCAAAAAGTTCTACCAAGCAGGATGTTGCGTTTCTAAACAGCGCACCACCGCCCTACTTCACATTCTACACAGCCCCATTTGAAAAAGTGTTATCTTTTACCCACTTCTACCTACTTAGTGTAACTCACTCCTTGAATTGCCTACAATACAGCATCAGCTTCAGAATTTCTTGGCAAGGTGAATCTCCACTGCCGCCGGAAACTGTAACCAGTATGCGGTGGATGTTACATGATCTCATCTCGACATTTCCTTGGAATTAGCTCACTCTACTGCTTGTGTTCAATGCTTTGGGGCATTGGTCACGAGCTAGTTATTTCGCTATCCCTCTCATACTATTACCAGGTGACGGCCATTTGCGACCGCAAAATATCTCGATGGCTTTCCACCGAATCAATACACAATGCAACAAGAAGCCTTCAAACAAAAACGAGATGAGATTACACCTAGTTGACACAGGATGTGTTTTCACCATGAAGCCCACATAAGATGCGTGGAAATTGGCATGAATGCCAAAAGACTCATCAGGACTCAAGGCAGAAACGCATCTATTTACAAACGAGGCAGAACATAAATCTGTGACTAGCTGAGAACGGCCTGAATATCCCAAAAGAATGAGTAATCTGTCAACTTAAACCTCCGCGCCCTCCTTGATGCCCTTCAACCCATCTGGCTTCCCATTCTCAGGAGGGCTCTTGCTGCCCTTACTCCTTCCTCGCTCCGACTTGGCATTCTCTGCGAACTTCAAGCTCGCCTGATGCAGCCCTTGATCCTGCTCTCCCTCGCTGTACTCCGAAGCGTAATAGTCCTCCTCCGTCATCCTCGACGATTTGAAAAACATGCTTCCCCACTGCGGGAACCACACGAACAGCACCAGCGCCGTGCAGCAGATGATCATGATTCCCATGTTCTCAATACCCACCTCCGTGTGGTACGTGGCTTGGGTGAAGAAAATCGTCTGCGTTAGCACCGCACCGACGTTGCCTCCTGCTCCGGTAAACCCAGAGATCACACCCAGCGACCGTCGAGACACGAATGGAATCACGCCGAACGTCGCACCGCACGCGGCCTGGACGAAGAAGGAGAACACAATCATGACCCCGATAGCGGGTCCCAGCGCTGCTGTCTTGCCCAGAACGATGCAGAATACGCCTCCCAAGGTCTGGATGATCCACAAGTTCCACAGCCGTCCTTGCATTCCATACCTCCTTGCGACGACGTCAGACAATATTCCTCCCAATGGGCGAGAGAAAATGTTCATCAATCCGAAGCTGGATGCAATGATTCCTGCGGTGGACAAGCTCAATCCGAAGCGATCGTAGAAATACTCAGCAATGATGTTGTCGACGGTGAGTTCGACTCCAAAGCAGTAGCCGTAGGTGATCAAGAAAATCCATGTCCTGTAGTTCGTGATCGCGTTGATAAATACCTGCAATTCAATGAACGAGATGAAGTGTCAGCTTACATTTCTAGTTAGAAAATTGGCAAGTATTGGAATTAGAGGTATTCAGTGTGAAAGCACAAGAGATTAATTATGTTTGTTACCAACGGAATCTTCAAACCGTACTGAACACAACCATGAAGATGAAGCAACAAACCTTCTTGAAGCTGTCCTTGGGTTTGGTTCCTTGTTCCTGAAGCTCCTTGAAGTTACCGTCGGGGAGATCTTGTCCAAGAAACAACACCAACAGACCAATGACAGTGTGCATTACACCAGGCAGGAAAAACGCCAGGCGCCACGCTGTGTAGCTCGGGGAGTGGAAACTGCTCAATCAGGAAAAATGTTTTAAAAGGTTTAGTTGTTCACATCCATAGGAAAAATTTGAATTCAAGCGATGCAATCACATCACTTTTGGATCTTAGAACGTAATAGCATTGATGGCATTAAACATGGCACAGACCTGTCTTTAATGAGTGCGTACACCAGAGGCATGATCATTTGCGTTGCGCCTCCTCCTAAATTACCCCAACCAGCTGCAATACCGTTTGCGGTTCCGACGATCTTGCCGTTGAACATGGAACTCATCCAGTACTGGCAAGAGACGAAAGTGGCCAGAGAAAACCCGACAAAGAACCTTACCGCCGTAAACCCCGCAGCGGAGTCCACAACAGCCATTGCGTACACAGCCGGCGAAATGATCATCACGAGGAATGCACATCCATATCGTGGGCCAATCATGTCGCACAAGGATCCCATCAACAAACGAGACAAAATTGAACCTGCAATATGAAGAAACGCATCGTCAATTACAACTTCAGTTCCTAACGAGTGTGCAGGTATGCAATGGTCTCTACCGAAGCAAAAGTCAAACAACAAGCAAAACAACAAATTAAAATAAAAAATTAAAACATATATATATATATATATATATATATATATCATCCACTATTACGAATACCTTAATTTCGTAGACATGAGCAACAGAGATAGGTAAACATCGAAAATGAGCAGGGCAATTTCTTACCCGTCACAGAGGCGATGGCGGCGTGTCCAATGTCCTCTTTGTTCAGGTTCAAGTTATCACGAATCACGGGAATGAGCGGGGGCGCAGCAAAAGTAGACATAAAGCAGGTGAAGAAAGAAAACCATGACAAGTGAAAGGTCAACATGTGGGGACGAGAAAAGCTGTGAATTCTCATCGTCGTGGCTTTGTGCTCAGAATCCACCGGAAGCGCAAACTTTGCGTCCGGGTCATAATTCATCTTGTCCCCGTCATGCAAGGAGAATGCATACAAGGCCTCCTTTCCCGTGACGCCATGCATGGACGATCCGGGATCACCCTTAGCATTCCTGTCTCCCACTGCAGACGACGACAGGTCCGCCATCTTGCACTACTACCACTCACCCCAACCTAACCCTCCAAGCCTATCAAGATCTATCTACACACACAATGTAAGTTGTTAACTCTCTCAAACTGACCCAACACCTTCTGACTAGGACGCCGATCGATCAATCGATCGACGTTTCGGAAAGCTATAGTTTCGGTCAGGTTTTAGGAGTGTGAAATGAGATCTACCTGAGCTTCCGAGACTCGATAACGACGTCCAAGGGTGGATACAATGGGCCTGGAACGAGAACTACCACAGGACGAATGAATTTGCAGGGGGTGAATATATGGGCAGCTGGGTGAGTGTCTCTGCGTCGTGTGTGGGCCTGCAGGGAATGAGAATCACTCAACTTGCGCATTGATCGGTGACATTTCGCCTCGCCGCGGACCAACCAGCCCTGTCCCCCGAGGCTTGGAGGCGAGCTCGACACATTTGGCATCGGCGTCAAAGAAAGGGCAGCTGTGGTGTGGCCAGCGCCCATTCCTCGCCCACTTGGTTGCGTCTCTGGCATTCCTGGTTTGTGGGACATACTATTCTCGGTTTCGCACTCCCTCCGGATGGGAGAAGAAGACGAAGATTTCTCTGTTCCTGGCTCGCATCATGTCCTCCGCCTTGAGGTCATGTCCTTGTTCGATGAGCTACTCTGCTCCACGTTCTATTATTCGGTATCTCTGATGCACGGGTTTATAGAACAATTCTATTAGCTCGGATTAAGCACGAAGCACTGCAGTAACCAATTAGCTTGAAACTGCTTGGTTTGTGTAAGAATCCGGCACAGTTGGCGAAGTGTTTGTTTTGGAATTGTTCGTAGTTTTGTACGATATGGTTGTGCTATATTGCGTGATAGGGTCACGTGCGATCTAATAGCGATAATTTTATCGTTAAGTTGGTGGAATCTTTCATATACTGGATTCTAAGTAAATATGATTTACATGATATACATGAACCTTTATATTCTAAAAAATGGTGTATGAAAAATTGCAAGTTCACAGTGTAGGGTTAAACTTGACTTATGTGAAGTGGTTTAAGTATGCAAAATATCCAACTGTGTCAGAATTGTCAGAATTCACGATCTATATATTCCCGTTCATCTTTCCGAAGTTTCCCTGTCTTTTCCTGTAAACCGAACATCCGAGCATTCAATATAAGATATTTGAGTCATTTAGTAACTAAAACTTCCGTATATAAATATTACTACAGGATCACATTTAATTATTTATTTATTTATTGTCTTCCCTAGTTTTTCCTCATCATGGATAGGATAGGAAGGGAAGATCGTCGAAAATCCATAGCTTCGATGCGCATCGACAAATGGAGAAGCATGTCCTCGTTGTAGCAGGAGTCGCAGATATCCTCGCAACACCAATCGAGCAATCGGAACGCGAACGGTGAATTCCTTCAGACCATCTGAGGGGGGTGCCTCTGTGGGGAAAGTCCAGCTGGGATTCGAGGGGTTGCGAGCAACGCCGAGGACAAACAATATTCACGAAGAGCAGCGCAGAACTTGAGCAGGAATCCAGGCGGTTCGTCCACAAATGGGCTCCAGTACACTCAGACGTACCACCAAGTTGCGCCAACGCGAAGAATATTCATAGCCGAGTTAAGGGATGGGAATGCCGGGAGAGCGGAGCTGGGTGCATCCAAGCTCGCTGGCACCACAAGGAGGATGGCTGTCGGCGTGCCGCGGCCGACGACGGAAGTCGCATCCCCCAAAATGGGTCGTATTTCTCGATTAGGGCATGCGCTGGCGGATTCTATTCCCGTTATTGTGGACCTAATAGGCGGTCCAGCTTCGTCGAACAGAGAGGTCACGACGATCTGCCTGCCGCGGTGAGAAGTGGAACCACGAGTTTGCCGTTTTTCTGCTCATTCCTCCACTCTGCTGCCTCGGGAATGGAGCCCCCCTACTTTCCCTTTTTCCAAACTTGCACCTTTACTTCAAATTTAATAAGAAAGAGGTCGCATATAATAAAGGAAATTTACAAATAAAAAAACAACACGATAAATAATTGACCCAGAGCTGTGTCCAGGTGGAGGCGTAGGATTAGGGCTCGATTGCTTGGGAAGCATCTATTAACTTTGTTACTCGCCGTGGTCACAGGCTCTCCGGGCCCACGGGTCGGTGACAGGCGTATCGCACGGCGCGCTGCGTGCAGGTAGGTGTCCGAGTCTAGGGCTCCCCCAACACCGAGAATCGTTTCCTCCTTCGTCGTCGTTTCTCGTCTGTCGTCGTTCGGCATTGTTTAAGATTCGTCCTCGTTCGCTTCGATGCTATGGAAGGGATTTATCTAAGCCCATCGGAGGAACACATAATACCAAATCATAAAATTCATTTTATTTTCGTTCCACTCACGCCACCTAAGATCACCATTTTCGACATTTATAACTTCAAAATTTTAGTTCATATTCTCATTTACAAAACATCTATATTTATATATGAGAAAAAAATGGGTACTATTCCATGTTTCAAGACAATTTTTAAGGAACTTTTTTCCCAACATGCAACAAATAGAAATATGACTCAACAAATAAATCTTATTTCTTTATTTTTTATGAATAAGAACTCCTTTACAAGGCAACAGATCATGTAAAAAATACATAAAAAAATAATAATACATGGATGCCACAATTTTTACTCATTGACCATTCTATTCTTGATTATATTTCTTATTTCTTATTTCTTTGTGGCTGGAATATTACATTAATTTTATCATAAATTCTTCCTTGTTGATGAGTTTACTTTTTTTTTTTATCATTCATAACTCATAGAACTCTGCTACAATTTATTTTTAGAAAACCAACTTTTTTATGATTGGAATGTGAAAAAATTGCTGTAACTCATCTGCTCATCCTAATATATATATATATATATATATATATATCAAGAAATGATTGCAATTAAACTAGATTGATTTCTTGCTAGTAAAAACTATACATATTTTATTTTTATTTCATTTTATTATTTATTTTATATTGTTATTCAAATAGGGTCAAATATACAAAAGCTCAAAAAAAATTTAAACATAAAACTAACTTTTATGCACAAAGATGATGCATTCTAAATGAGATGTCAGTCAAGAACTAAATTCCCAAATAATGTAATAATTAGTTCATCGAGCATTAATTTTATTATTTAAAATAAAATATGTATACATATATAATATATATGTATAATTTTATATCACCAAATTAGGTAGTAAGTTTTGTACAAAGTTGCATAGTATAATCTAATATACTATAAATTTATAAATTTGTATTTGTAAGAATTGTTATTATATTAAATATATTTTAGTTTGCTATTAAAAGTAATAGAAAAAACAATATGTATGTGCTAAACATCAATGAATACCTATACACATAAATAGTAAAATTATGTAAATATAAATTGAATGAATGATTATTGAAGAACAAAGAGTAATTTAATACTAAATGTGTTAAACAGTTCAATATTAAAATAAATCTTTGTTCTTCTATAAATGTATTCTACAATGAATATATATATATATATATACACACACATACACACAAGAATCACGAAATAAAAGAAGATGGCATGAATCATACTTCAATTTAGCAACCATATGATTTACTAAGAACAATTCTAACTACTACATATATTTACAAGATGGTATTAACAAATTATTTTGGACATGTGGTACCTATCCCATTGAACTTGTGATGATATTATTATTAAGTTTGGTACAATTGCAAACCTGTACTAATTTATGAGTAAGAATTAAACTTAATTTTCTACTTATTAAGTGATCTTAAAAACCAGTACTATTTTTATCAATATTGAAGTCAGTTGCAAATGGCGTATAACCTTTGAACCGTAAGTTGAATGAAACATATTTAACAACCAATACTGGATCAAAATAATATTTTTTTCTTTTCAAACATTTACTTCAATACACAGACTTGTGCAACAAGCCATTCAACTTATAATTCTTTTCAAATAAACAAAGCTAAATACTAAAACAATAGAACACAAAAAACAAAAAATGTCGTACTCATAGTACAATTGAAAGCATATCACTTTACCAGTTATGCAGGAGTGTATATATATATATATATATATATAAATATGCTTAACATCCACTTGCTAATTCAATAGAAGAACAGATTCTAATTGATTCTGAAACCATGTCTTTATGCCCCCCGCCCCACATAACTTATTTCTTGCAATGCCTTCTCTGAAACAGGATGACGAAAACGAAGATTCCACCCCACAATTCTCCGAAAAAACTTAATCTCTGAGACATGAAATGCTGATAATCTCCGAAGAGCTTATCAAAACCTAGATTCCTTAACACGACGCAGAAACCAAAATACTCCATGAAAACTCACAACCCCTACCTAGATTTAGCCAGAACAGCGCAATACAGAGATTTGACGAATCTAATCTACGAAATTACTAGATTTCGACAGTGGTGTGTGTTGGAGAATTCCACAAAGATTCTCATACTTACCCTAGATTCGCAATATCGGGAAAGATTCTTGGATGGAACATGGATTTCGAAAAACTAGATTCGTGGGAAAAACCTAGGCTCTTCGAGAAACCCTTAGGACTTGCCTCCAAAGGTGCCGCTGGGGCAATGCCCGCTGGTGGCAGCGGCGAAAAGAAGCTCTTTTTCCTCGTGTCCACGGGGCGCCGCCTCCGCTCGCTCACTGAGCCGCGATGGAGCGAGCGAGCGAGCGAGTGAGATCAGGAGAGAGCATCATCCCCGACGTGCCCGCGTCGTCGTCGGCATCCCCCCCGGGATCCGGCACTCTCCCACTGGCTCCCACTAGCCATGCCGCACCCTTGGAATTCATAAGTAGTACCCATCACGTGCATTGCTCATCTGCAGTAGCTCCTTCCCTCACTCCCTCCCCGTCGCCATCTGCATCCTTGACCTCACGCAGATCCGGTGCTTGTGGTAAGAATCTTCACTTGCCGGTTGATGAATCACTCCCTTGTTTATAGTCGTCGACCCAAGTTCCTTAGTTGCTTCGCTGCTGTGCTTGAGTTCGACTAGGTTCTAGCCACCCGGAACCTGCAGTTTGGGCTTGCGTTTCTTTCCTTGGAGTGTCTCGATGGTAGCAGTTTTGGTGAAGGTGGGAATCCGTCGAGTGCGAGGAATTCGATGTCGTAACTTGATCCGGTGTCGGAGAGTGTTGCTACATTTGGCGTATTTCTAGGTTTTCTTTTTCTTCTTTTGAGTGGGTGGGAGTGGAGAGATGAGAGTAGCCATTGTGAGGATTGTAGCTCTTGTGAGTGATTCGCATTTGATATTGTCATGCTTTGAACTGTGATACTCGTGAGTTGATTGGGAAATAAACTACCTAAATCTCCTCGGTGGTTAGTGTCCTTGTAACTTATCTCCATACAAGTACTATGCCATCTTAAATTACTTAGGCGATTCACCATTTCTTTTTAAACATCCCGCATATATTTTACTTCACAACCTATTTCATGAGTATCAGTCGTTTGCATTTGCCCCAAGTGATCAACTTGACTTATTTTTCTATTTATAAAAAACAGATCCGTCGTCCTACGTTTATCTTTTCTTCACGTTAGCTATCTTTTATTACATAAGTCTTCAACCAAGTAGTGTTCAACTGCACCGTACGTAATTACCACTTTCTGGAAGAGCCACTTCGTTGTCATCTGAGTAGGAGGATGTAGCGTTTGAGCGGAGATTGTCTTCGACCTTTCTTGTAGTCCTAGTGCTTTATATTCAAGTTTGGTCGGAGAGATCATTAGGCTGCAGCATGATAGTGAACTGCTTTTGAAATCTGATTTTAGCAATCACTCAATTTTGGACTTTGGGGTCGAATACATCTTAGCTACCATGGTAAGAGTTACAAGATGCTGATCAACAGTACGCTTGTGCAGGAAGGTTCAGATGGATTCCTATCGCCATTTGTCAGTTTCCCTTTTGGTTTTGTTAGCGCTCCTGGGTGCTGTAAGCCATGCCGAAGGATTCGTCTCATTCAATTCACTATCGAGTAAGAGGACTTTGGTGGTGACTGTCTCCATGGCTAACAACTCAGACATAAAAGGTTAGATTTATATTTCCTCTTCCTGTCCATTATTGTTGATGTTGCAGCTGAATTGGATTGTACTTTCGGACACCCTTTGGACTAAAATTTATATTCAGTTCTTGCCATCAAGGTTTGTTACCGTTTTTTTGCGTATCGTATCAGATTTTCTCACCTTCTTACTACTCATTTCCTGTTGATTTTTCAGAAGTCCATACCGGGCAAGATTCGATTTTGGTGAACTGGAGTGTGAACGCTTCGGCACCAGCTATAGTTGACGCCAAGACGGTCGAGACGAGGCTATGCTTCGCGAAAGAGAGCCAGACATTGCGTGGGTGGCGCAAGACCGATGATAACTTGAAGAAAGACAAGACCTGTTTGTACAAAATCCAAAGACAGCCTTACGCACCTGCGGGCTCAGTTACCTACGCTCTCCCGAAGTCGATCCCCGGTGCTAAATACTTTGTTCGTGCTTACGTCTTCAATTCCAGTGACCTCCAAATTGCGTATGGACAGAGCTCCCCCAACAAGATTAACAACACCTTCACTGTCATCCCCATTTCTGGTCGCCATGGCAGCATTGACGCCGCTGTGGGTGTCTTCTCAATATTCTCAGTTGGGTCGCTCTTCGCCTTCTTCATCTTTGAGAACCTTTACTTGAAGAGGAAGAAGGCCGTGTAGTGCACGAACTTGCTTATCAAGTTATATTTGACAACATATTCTAGTATGTCTTGCAGAGACTCATGAGTCTCATGTGAGTTTGCCGCTTTCATTTATTTTGTTTGGCAATCGGAGAGTGCACTGTTGCAGCAAACTCAGCAGCAGGGGGGACCGAGAAGTTAGATTTCCCCACTTCAGTCACATTTAGATGGTCTTGTACAAAAGCAAATCTGCCTGTTCTGGAGACACGTTTAGGTAGAGTTTTGGAGCTCTTCAAAGCGTTTAGTCCCTTCGTGTACCATGTTGTTTGTCCCAGAAATAAACCCTAATTCAATTGCAATAAAATTTGTGGCTGGAATGAAGTCATTTATTCTAGCCAGTGCTACTACTCATTTACTTTCAGTGTGGACTTGTATTGAAAAACATGTGTGTGCTGTGTTACTTCTATACAGCCCTTCGGCAGTCCCATAGATGGTCTTGTCTTGAATTATTTATGAGTTGGTTTCTATACATTTTAGCTCATTATTAGAGTTTGTATGTTTCCAAAAGTCTTACTGTGCTCATAGTTATATTACTTGGTTTTTCTTGTAGGGATTGATTGCCTTGAAATAATATATGGTTATTTTGAATTCCTCTTTAGACAAGATGTGTTACATAAATTAAATCAAAATAACAGTATATTGCATTTAACGAAGATAAAATTCAATACATCAACGCTTATGATATCCTCATGTTTGTAATAATTTTTCATTATGTGGTAATAGTTTTATATTTTACAACTACTTGATGTCATTTCTTACGGATAAGAATTCTTATATTTCATTCCTATAAAAAACTGTTTTTTGCATGCTTTGAGAAAAAGTGATTCTATTCAACATTTGTTTTCTTCAAAAAATATATTAGATTAAACACTCCAAGAATTGATCCAAAACATTTTAATTATTTAACTATTTTTAAATAAATCATATTTTCATTTAATTTTATTGATTTTGTTACGAACAAAGAAAGGCTCACATTTGATGATTTATACATTTATCTACCAAATTTCATTTTTTTGAAATCATAAGTCAAATTCGAAAACCATATCAACATGCAAGTCCAGCAAATCAGTGCAAAACTTTCAAATTATTAAAAAAAGACAAAAAGAGAAACCTGAAAGTATAATACGAACAATCAACAATACCAGAGATCCAAATACCTTGCAAAAGAGAATTATCTTACATTTTCACAACACTATGAGTTGTGATCAGATGATCTTTAATGAATCCTGCATTTTTTATTTTTAAAAACCAAAAAGTTGAGAGCAAAAACAACATTGTGTATAAGATTATCAAGACTTCTAAGCTACACACACAGCAATTGATTACTGTCACAATAATCAAACAAGCATAATGACTAATGGCTTTGAACAACAGTCAAGCAAATTCGCTATTAATTTGTCAGCATGTTTCTAACGTATTTCTAACCCAGTTGTAATTCCTTGTCAATTGGTTCAGAAGCAGATTGGATGAAACCCTAACTTCCTACATCCACATGGGGATGACGCTCGTCATCCATTGGCTGAGGCGTGATCCAACGGCTCCCGTGTCTTAAACAATTTTGCAAAACCTTATTTATTCCTCAGCCATCGCACGAATCTAACAACGTTGTGTATCAGAATCCAGTGATCTCTTTCGCAGTCCTGTTTCCTGCGGTCGTAGATGCCTTGATACGTAGAGATGCAAAGTTTTCTATCCTAATGTCGCTAGTGAAATTTTCGATAGTCGGAGTGTCTCGGGGTCGTCGCTTAGTTCCGTTTGTTTTTGGTGTCTACCGGTGTGGTTGGGATCGGTTACGGTTGTATTCTTCTTTTGAACTCGGTGGAGGAGCCTGAATACAGCTATTCGATTTTCTGTTTGTCTCCAGTGAATGCTCTGGTCATGTCATTTGTGTCTCGGTCGAGATGAGAGTATCGTGCTGTGAGGATTATTCTACTTTCTGACACCTCTTGTATGAGAGCATATATTCTGCTCACTGAACGGGGATGCGTCTATCTGAGCACCTAGTTGAGGTTCGCGTTTGGTTCAATCGGGTCGTTTGTGACGCCGACTCGCTACAGTCAGGTGTGTCACTAAAGGCAGTGAATATGCCGAGTGTAACCTCTGCCATGCAATGTACTACACTTCCATTGACCCGAGGAAATGATAGGTGGAATTCGAGAGGTATATCAGTATCTATATATCCACACAAGTATAGGCTCCTGCGCTTAGATTTATCGAGATGCTTTAAGTTGAACACTCGCCTTTGACAGTTCAACTTGTTGAATGTTTATATTATCGTGCTGTGATGATTATGCAAATTTTCTGACACCTCTTGTATGAGAGCTCTGGCCGTGCTCGCCGAACGGGGATGCGTCTTTCTGAGCACTGAGTCTCACGTCTAAACTAGCGTAGCCATTATATTCATTCTTGCGGCAATGTAATGGTAGTCCAGAGTTTTCGAGCAGACATGGCATGCCAGTGTACATACTCTGCACGAGACCGTTCTTGGCGATTGTGCGTTGGTTACTGTTCACAGAATTATGGTTAGGTCGGAAGATGACCCAATTCTCAAGTCTAGCGCGATCTGCAGGAACATGATTGACATATTTGACATAAATTACGTACTGTACTACGCTCTTATCACTCACCGGCGTGTGAACGTAGACCCCACCCCTCAGCACGTTGCCCAGGTACCTCCTTGAAACTTAGATTTCTGGCTTTCTGTCCAGTTATTAACACGTAGTCAACACACCTGAGTAAAATTTTGGAAATCACGCCCTAAGAAACTTGTTCTATGTGCTAAGACCAATTAAGCTATGATCTCTGCTGAATTGCCCCTTTTGATGACGATGCACATGAACTATCAAGCTTTGCAGGAAGACTTTACAAGTTTGTTGATGTTGCCCAGTGACAAATCCTACAGTCCTTCGTGCTTTAAGTAGAAGTAAAAATTCTTTCAATCATATAGTTGTTACTACAAGGTCTGCATTCGAAGGTATTCTATCATAAGCAACAATTTCATTTTTGAAACATGGATACCAATTGATAATTTGCTAAGACATTTATTTCATGTCAATCACTTTTATTTCAATCTTTTCTCTTATGAAATGATGTGGAATGTCAATGTGCTTGATTCTTAAATGATGCCTTGGATTCTTTACAAAAGCAAGACATCTTTGATTATTACACTTCATTGGAGTTGCTTCCAATTGCGTAAGTCTTTAGTAAATTTTTACCATAAATATACATGCATATTTTAGTAAATACTTAAATAATTAAGTAGAAGTATGTATAGAAATAAGTTAAAATAAATTCATTTCATAACATATTTAAATGTCTTTATAGATGGTGCTTTGACATTAAATATATTTATAGTTGATTGGTGGGTTAAATTTAATTAATAAATTAACCAAGTCTTAATATCTTATAGAATAAATTAATTATATGATATACATATAAAAAACTTGCTTTACAGGTTAAAATATGTGTCTTGTAAGGTCAACACATTTTAGAGGTTTTATAGGACATTTTCACATCTTTTATTTAAGAGCATTTATGGAGGGAAGAGTGAAGCTTTTTTCATTCTTATCAATGCCTTTGTAGTCCTTCTTATTTTAAGACTTTTTAGTCTTCTTGTTTTTAGTAATAGCTATTCTAATTCAATACTATATCATCTTTGAGTGACTTCATAGTTCTTTTCAATGATACAAGAATATATTTGTTTTTTAGATTTATATCCTTAATAGTTTGACAAGAGTCCTATCTTATTATTATTTTTTAGAATTGAGTGGATTATTCTACTTCTATTGTTATATTTTGAAGGTTATGAACTATCCACCTTTAAATAAATAATCTTCTTTTTTAATATTATTTTTTACTTTAAAGAGAGTAAAATACTCATCTCTATAAAAAAATTCATTTGATATTAGAGGTTGTAGATTATCATCTTTTAATTTAACTTTAAATTTTTTTTTGAGTTATCTATGGAAGAAAAAATTATGGATGCTACTCTCAACGGAAGTGAGAATAGATTTGAAACTATTGTAGATCTTCATGAGCTTGTTAACACTCTAAGAGTAGAAATCTCTCATATTTCCGACATGAATCATGGAGGTACTAATCCCATGCCTACAGAAGAAGTTCAAAATCTGTATCAAGAAGGAAGTAAGTAGTTCAATCTTACAACCAAATTTAGGAAATTTTTCTTCTGCAAATATGAAGGAGACAAGGATTATTATGCTTGAGAAGTTTGATGGAACAAGATTAAAAATTTGAGGATTTTTACAATAAGTCAAGCTCTATCTTAGGTTGCATCTTTTTCAATACCTTGATGGATTTACTCAAGTCCGATTCATAGGACATTTCTATTAAGAAGTAGTTTCTCTGGATTTGTATCTTTAATGGAAAAAGATTTGTAATTTCTTTGTGATTTGAATTCATTCTTAAAAATATTTACAACCACATTCGAAAAAAGTAATCAAGAAAGAATAGCAGAGACCAAGCTCTTATCTTTACAATAAGGATTACGGTTAGCTACTATATATGCTGTTGAATTCCAAAACTTTGCTTGTGATATAGATTGGATGACAATGTCCTTCTTAATTAATTATGATATAGATTGAGAAATAATATCAAAGATTTATTATCGATAATGCTAAAAGCAAAATCTTTGAAACAAATTATTGCTCAAACTATTGCATGTGACAATCAATTATTTGAAAGATATCAAGAACTAAGACTTGATAGAAAAAAATAAGTCAAATAATGACTATAGATTCCAAGTTTTTAGAAATTTATTCATCAAAGCCTGAATCAATAAAAATTGATATGGTATATTTTAAATCCTTTACAGAGTAGAAAAGACTCGATGAAGTTAAGAGGCCTTATGCTTATATTGTAGAGAAGCTAAATACACTATTCAATATTTTTCAAAAAAACAACATAATTATAAAATAAAAAGCATGATTGTCAAAAAAGATGATGTGTCAAAAAATAAATTTTTTCTAGCTAAGAACTATGCAAGTAGAATCTTGCGTAACTCCTAATAAAAGTCCTATTCTTTCCTCAAACCCTTCACCTCATTTTACAATAGATGCATATTTAGGACCAAAAAGTCACAAAGTCTTAACTATGTTAGATTTAAGAGCCTTAACTTATTTTATAAATAAAGATTTTGTCAAAAAATAAAAGATATTATTAATTAAGAAAATTAAATCTGTGCATGTAGAAGTCATAGATAGTCATTTGCTATCTTTTAAAAATATTATACATAAAATTATTCTTTTAGATGTAACAATTTAAGATTATAATAACATAATAATATTTAATTTAATAAGATCTCTATCCAATCTAATTATTTTAGGATTATTTTAATTAAAAAAATATAATCCTTAAATAGATTGGATTTCTCATATCCTTAATTTTTTTGATAGTTTAATCTAAAATCTTTTTAGTCATGTAGAAATACATAAGTCTAATATATCCAAACTCTTATTGGTAGGTGCGAGAACTTTCATGCATGCTAAAAAAAATGGTCATCTTCTGATTTATATGCTATACCCATTTCTAATGGTGAGAAGACATCAAGTAGTATTTCTAGTCAATATTAAGTTTTTTAAGACATTTTTAAAAACGAAAAAGTAAATATTCTTCCTAAATATTGTCTTTATGATTGTTCTATCAATCTTTATGAAAGAGCTCAACTACCATTTCGACCAATCTATAGCCAATTACAAAATGAGTTGGCTGCAGTCAAGGAATAAATTGATGAAAATTTGGCTAAGAATTTCATATGCAATTCTAAATTTCCAACCAAATTTCTTATTTTATTTATGAAGAAAAAATATGGATCTCTACAAATAAGTGTAGACTATCAAGGATCAAATAAGATCACTATCAAAAATAAATATCTTCTACTTTTGATTTTAGGACTTTTTGATAAAATCAATCAAGTAAAGATATATATCTAAATAGATCTACGAAAAGCATATAATGTCATGGACATATGCATGTAAGCCAATAATTACATATATAAATAGGTAGAAATAAGTAAGAGTATGTAAAAATAAGTTAATTCAATAATATTTGCTAAAGAAGCTTTTTAGAAGCTTCATAGATGCTGCTTTGATTTTATAGGTATCTTTAATTAATTTTTTGGATTAGAAACGTGGTCAAAAAGTTGGCCATGTACCACACATGTTGTTAACTTGAAGACAAAGCTAACTATGTTGTCTATACATAGAAAAACTTGCCTTGTAAGTCAAGGCATGTATCCTACAAAGTCAATACATATTGAAGGTCCTATAGAACATCGCCACGTAGCCTCTAATTAGATAATATATTGTCAGGGACAAGAACTCGATGAAAGCTAAAGAGTAAGTGAGACTTTTCTCAAAAAGAAATAGGACAAAATAGAAATATGTATATTAAGAAAGAAACTGGAATGGCTATTGCCAAAATACAAGAAAACTAGAGACCCTTGAAACTAGACTAGAAGCAAGAAAGGAGTTGACAAGAGTGAAGAGGGCTTCACTCTTGCCTCTATATATACTATCTAACTAGAAGCCACGTGGCGATGTTCTATAAGACCTCCAATATATGTTGACTTTCTAGGCCACATGCCTTTGCTTGCAAGGCAAGTTTTCTATGGATGGACCACGTAGTTAGCTTGTTCTTTAAGCTTTCAACATGCGTGGCACATGGCTAACTTGTTGACCAAGTTTCTAACCTAAAAGTCAACTATAGACTCCTATAAAGTCAAAGCAGCGTCTATGAAGCTTCTAAGAAGCTTCTCTAGAAGATATTACACAATTAACCTACTTTTACATACTTTTATCTATTCATATAGGTAATTATATGTATGTCCGTGACATTACCCCTCCTTCTAGGGACGAGTTCCACGATACTCTTGTCAACACTTTTCTTGTTTCTAATCTAGTTTTAAGGATTTTTAGTTTTCTTGGCTTTTGGCAATAGTCATTTCAATTTCTTTCTTAATATACATATTAAGTTATTTCTATT